AATAGGAAGTAATATGTTGACCAGAGTACTGCTAGTATTATATATATTATCAAATAATTACACTTAACAATGACAACTTGATGAAACAGTGACACCAGATGAATAGGAAGTAATATGTTGACCAGAGTACTGCTAATATTACATATATTACCAAATAATTACACTTAACAATGACAACTTGATGAAACAGTGAGACCAGATGAATAGGAAGAGGCTATCTTTTATTTTTTGATCAATGTTCTTTCTCATTCACCACTGATGAAGCATGCTTCCACGAATAAATATTTATGTACAACTAATAAAAAGTAGGTAACTACCTCAGCTAAGTAGGTGAAATATTTAAGTTATTGCTTCATGATGCAAGTGTTAGAATTAGTATATATCATAAAATGTGCAAGAGATAAAGAAGGATCTGCTGGCATTCATCACTAGGTGATCACATTACAAATACTCAGTCAAGCTTGGTATGCTTAATTTTCTCAAGTTGCTTTTTTTAGTTTGCTTGTTTGTTGGTTTGTTTTAAAGCAAAGCTACATTGGGCTATCTACTATGTACACTCTGAAGAATCGAACTCCAGTTTTAGCATTGTAAGTCCTTAAACTTACCACTGTCCCACCAGAGGAACACAGGTTATTTCAAAATACATTTTAAAGCAGATTTTAAAATGTTTACAATCAAACTCTGCAAAAGTGTGCTCAGTGACTTTGCTCTTAACATTTAAACTACAAAGAAAAAGAACAGTTGCAATTTTATTTAACTGGTGAAAAAATACTGGGGGCACTGAAAAGTTCAATGTGTAACTGTTTCTAAACCAATCATACAACTTCTTGAACATATGGGTAGGGTAGATCATTATCCACAACACAAGTACTGAAAAACTTTATTTGGCTCTAGAATCAAAAGTAGTTGAAAGAGGTAAATGCAATTTTGCAAACCTATTCTAGAGGTGCATAATGTCAAGATAAAACATTTGCCATTTGTAATTATGGAGAGGTACGTATGCATATATTAAGTTAAAGGAGCAAACTATGTAAACAGAAAAGATTAAAGTAATTTCATTTATTCTTTTCCTTTTATTTGGCTACAAACCACCGTGTTGTTTGATTTTCATTCAAAATTAAAAATATCTAAGAGTTTTTGTTTTTTTTCTAGGAAGCTAAAATATCTGAATAGAAGAACAATGGCAAACTACAATCACCTTTGTATACTTTGAGCTTCATGTTGTAAGTTCCTGTTCCCAGGTCTGCAATAATCAATTTGAAGTCTCCATCACCATGTATGTCAGCCAGACATATACAAGATGAGAATGTATAAAGTGTGGCTAAAGGATCATAGAATGCATGGAGCCAGTTGACCTGAGATTCTGTGCTGCTCAAACAAAGACAATGAAATGAAAAAAATTAATATAACTAGTGCATACTGGCCAAAAGAAACAGCCTCAATTTCTGAGAGGACTTTAAATATTTCTAAAAGAATGACAAATATATTAAAAATAAACTTGCTCTAACATATATATATATATATAAATAATTTCACTCACATGAAATATTGGTCATTTACTTTTTATTTTGTATTAATAATGTTATTTGAATATTTGGACATTGTAGACCATTTTTATACATTGTACAAAACAATGGAGAAAAATAATTGGTATCTGTAATATTAAAGCTATGACAAAGTATAACCAAGGTTGTGAAAAAGTGTCATTCAAACCACAGTTCATTGGTATACAAATCAAGAAATATGTGATTAGACTTCAAAGAAAACATTTAGATATTTCACTTATGTGGAAAGCTATAAAAACATTTACACTAGCCAATCAAAGCATAACGTTTTGAATTGCTACAAATGCCATTAGTATGATGTGGAGTTGCTTCCAAAACCAATGGTACTATTTCTTGGGTACCTGTGTTAAATAAATCACCATCTGCAACACAAGCAATGAATCTAAAACTGAATTAAATGTCTGCAGCCACAAATGAACACTGTCAGTATAGAAGCAGTTAGAAACAGACTTCAAAAAACTGGCATTGTACTCCAGACCCCAAATGCAGTGTATTCAATCCAGTCGACCAATGATATGTGAAGCAACAGTTTTTTTACAGATTAAATGTGCTTCACTCTGGAACCAGATAACAAAGAGTATACTCATTAGAAAAGAATGTAGAAACAGATCTAACTAAATTTCCACACAAGAAAGTGGTGCATATTGCAGTAGCAAAAGCATGGTGTCTATAAAAATAAGCACTGGTAGAACATACTGATCTCTACATCCTGTGAAATGGTACCATTAATGCCACAAACTTAAGGAACCAAATCCATGTGCTAATGCAATTGTCGTGGATCTCAGCTAATGAAAATGTCTGTCCTCACATTTCTGAACTGGTTGACAAATTCACTGAAGAAGAAAGAGCTAACCAAACAGAGTGGCCTACAAACTAATCAGATTTCAATCTTATTGAGCATGTATGGGATAGTTTAGGGAGATGAGTTATATCTCATCAAGTGAGTCCAAACACTAAAGATGCCCCAGTTTATAGAAGGGTGGATGAGGACACATTAGGATCTTATGAACACTCTGATTTTAAACATGCAATACCAGTGCCAGGCTGTCCCTGTTGTTGGTTGTGACATTATTCCATATTGAAGTGAAGTGTTATAAACTGTAAAAATGTAAAACCACCTCTACTAAATGTTAATTTATGAGCACAAATATAGGATGACTGACCAATCATTTGCATTTCAGGTGATACATAAAACATCAGATGCCTAATTTTTAAAAGTATGAGCTGAGAAGAGTGATTGACATGATTTTGCAATAGTGATAATACATGTATATGTGTCTTGTCATAGCTAAAATATTTCAAATATCAGTAAGTTTTTATTTGTTATTTAACGATAAGCTTTTTAGTTTGCTGTATAAGGTCATTAAATATTACTTAAAATGAACATCAAAAGACTTAAATGTATAGGCTATAAAGTTATGACTCTATAACAGTAAATACACATAACCCCTTTCTTATATTTAACAAAACATGATTGCTTTTTTAAAGGCTTATTCCATTGTACCTTTCAGAGAATGTATAGTGCATGTATACCTTTTATCTTTCAATATTCATTCTTTTAATATGTCACTGATGTGTGAACTTCTATCAAGTACCTAGAGAGGTTACTTCTATTCTTACAAGGCCAAGATACCAATACTACATGCATTTTGTGAAGACTTTTGTACATTAATATTACTGATAATCTTACCATAAACAATTACTGCTAAAAATAAATTAGTGAAGTTAATAATACGTTCTATACACTATTTTTATTACCATAGGTTTTATTTTACCCCACAAAATTTCGTATACTAAATTCATTTTATAATATAATACAATAGTTGTATTATCTTAAACTGCAACTATATTAAGTCCTAAAATAAATAAAATAATTCAAAACTCCATAAATACTTTAAGTTTGAAAAACCTCACCTTTCTTTATCAGACATTTTTCCACTGCTGATAATTGCAGAAACTTTGAAGAAAAATGAAGACTCAATATATCTAAATATGCAACATACAAATGGAAAAAAAGGGAAAACTGTCAAAGAAATACAAGCTAAAAAATCTATTTCCTTAACAGAGAATGGAACATATCAAATATTTGTAGATTCTCCTTGAACCACCACTTACATATACTGATATAGGTTTAAATGTTAACTCCGACAATAATAAGAACAGCTGCACTAAATAACTAACATTTGAAGGCCATGTGATAATCATAATCCTCCATCACTACCATCAGATTTTCATCTACATGTATGACTACATCTTGTAAGAACTTTCTACTACAACATTTTCCATTACTAAAAAGACAAGAAGAATATAAATTATTGATATTTTCCCTGGCATGAAGTTTTAATCTAGTTTTACCCAAAAATTGTTGTTTACACCATGCATATCATTCAACATTTATTTTTTCTTCATAAGTGTTATATTTCAAACAACTGAGCACTAATTAAAATGTATTTCTAAAATCCAATAAATTATAAAGATTATTTTCAGTTAAATGTAAAGTTGAAATGTATATTATTACTTAAGTAGACCATCTGTAAAATGGTTCAATGCTCAAAACTCACACTTAAGAGTCAATTCTTCAAAGCCTGTTTTTTACAGTTATAAATGTTGATATCTTCATACACTGAAAATATATTTCCAATAGATACTTATCTCCTCTCACAGTAACAGCTATTCTCTAGTGCACAAATTTTTACTCGCCACTAGCCTTGAACTCCACCTAATTCCACAAGTATACTATGCAGTTCAGCTGTGTTTAATCATGTGAATTAGCATGCAACAGCTCTCCACCAATAGGGGTGTGACACACCCTCCTATTCACAGCTAACTCCCTCTATGCAGTTGAACCCATTCTTCACTTCGAGATTAGGCATGAAAAACAACACCGGAAGTTGGGAGGATGGGTGGGAAGTGTGATCGGAGGTAAGTATCTATTGGAAACATACTTTCAGTGTAGAAAAATATTAACTTCCCGTACGATTACTTACCTACAGTTACAGCTAGAATTCCATATTGAGCAGTGGAGTGACTGGTGTAAAATTATACTGAAGCTTCTGAAGAGCATCTATGGAGTGTACCACCTCTATGTAGAGGAAACACACCTGTGGGAGACTGCATCACATCTAAACCAGGCATACTCTTCACCCAAATGGTGTCAACTGGTGTTGTGTTGCAATCAAAGGTTGGAACATCCACCCCAAGTCCAAAAGGAAGAGGGATGTGTGTAGAGTGGCTAGGGCATGTCCGACTGTAATCAGGGGGTCAACAACAGTCCAAACCAGTTACACCGGAAGAACCAGACCAGCTCCTGGCAGGAGGAGGGTCCTCAACCATTCACCTCAGGTGTAGGAACCAGAAGGGAAGAAGAGCCTCCATTCCGAGAATCTAAGCCAACATGTGTACAAATCCAACCCAACCTGGAATAACAAACCCAGGGAGTGTACATCTGGACGATGTCAGGAAGGTAGAAATGGAATGTGGAGGATCAATGCTAGTCCAAAACCAATCAGCATTGAGGATATAACATACAGTCTATGGTAGGGAGAAGTTCCAGCTCTAACCAAAACCAGTCACCCAGGAAAAAACATCCAGGTGGTGGTAGGAGGGATGTACTTATAATGCAACACCCAATCTCAACAGTGATAGGCCTTAGAGTTCTCCTGGTGACGATATTGGTTATCAATATATCTGGACAGGCACCACTTACCACAGAGAAGGATCCATAACATGTTAAGTAGCCACCTGAAAAAAATTAAACAAAAATAACTTATCCACTCAGAGTTATACTGACATATGGAGAATGGCTATAGGGGGAAGATAATATCCAGCTAAGCAGGAAACTGCCAAATAGTGCAAGTAGTGTGACACCAAGGTGTGGGGAGTGGTCCATATGCTGGCCTGGATAAGTTCCTCCAAAGAACAATGGAAATGAGCAGCCAAGGATATTGGGAGATGGTGTATCACATGTAATGATACACAGAACAATTGGCAAGATTCAGGAGAAAGTGAGGAATACACATAACTTAATTGACCCAATCTGTAATGGCGAAAAGAGAAATATCTCAAGAAATGGAAAGATTCCAATGAATAAATAAATAGGAGTGAGATCCATGGCAAGTATGCTGTGAGCAACATGTAACACCATAAAGCACAAACTGGAGACAATCTGGATCAGAGTGGGAGTAATTATGGAATATGAAAGTAAGGGTAATAACTGGAGAGAAAAACACAGAGCAAAAATGCAGGGAGATAATAGGGCTGCCCTATAGCCCATGACAGTTGAAAACAACGGACCCCTGTCAAACAACCATGTAAAAACAGATATCTGAGGAAGGAGAGAATCCATGCCAGATAGACTAATGATGGAACATTCTCCACTTATGTTCCTTCCTAGACATGGGTGAGGAATGGACAATATGATATAACAGGAATGCTACACAGGTGGATAGCCCCAATCTCCTTACAAGGGACTGGAAAAAGGCTACACATGAAGTTGGAGTGTGAGAATGGAGGGATAAAGCACCCCTGAGTGAGGTTGCTGGGGAAGAGAGAGGGAGGGGTAATGGAGTTTGTAACTGGATGGAGAAGGGACAGGTATGGAAACCACATTTGAGCCAGCCAGAAAGGAGCCACAATAAGAACCAGACACAGAGTGGATTGGATGAGAGGAATTACTCAGGGTAGAAAATGGATGCTAGAGCATACATAAAGGAAAGGTCCTTCCAATCCTAGTTGAATGTGTCCATGACCAAAGCCAAAGGATGCGAAACTGGGGACCAAAAGAGAGAAAGCTTGGCATTCAATTGAAAGACAAATGCACCTAGTTGGGAAGTATCCAACTGAGAACATAGCCATCAGGATACCTGGGGTTGAGAAGGTATAATCTTGTTGAGATGGGACAGATGATTCACAACAAGAATGAGGGCACCTGGTATGTGAAAAGTCAACAAACGAATCTGATGGCTGTGAGCTCAGAAGAGGAGATTTAGAGTGCAAGAACATAAGGACCAGGATCAAGTTCCCCCTTGACTGGTGATGAAAGAGACAACCATCAAGTTAACAGAATGAATCATAACCGTTATGCCCCATAAAGATGACAGAAAATGAACCATTTCCCACAAGGAGTACCAAAAGGTTGATGTGAAGACATAACTCCTCCTGAGACTAATGATCTAAGATCTCCTATGCAATGCAGCATGCATCCCATCCTTACAACAAGGTATTTGTAAAGACATGGTCATCTGGCCAAGCAGAAGGAATAGGTATTCCCAATGTCATGTCCCTGTCTAACCACCAGTTGGACTGAAGAGATGCAGGAAAGGATATCTGTAAATCCAGAGGGTCCCTGATGAGGTGCCAATGAACTCGTAGTACCCATTTACAGACAGGAGTAGGTTAGGCTCAAATGAGATATTGGATGGGGTGGATAATGGACTTCTCCACCAAGATAATCCAACCCATCCAAATGACTTCTCAGATTAGAAGATGGGTGAGTGTGGAAGATTCTGTGAAGTATGGAGCCAGAAGAAGCCAGATATCCACATAAAGATGGAAAGTGAGCCCATGAAAACAGACAAATGGCTGAACCATCCAACATAGAGCATAGGGTCCCAATGTCAGAGCTTGGAATTGATAAACACGATCTCCCAGGACAAAATGTAGATAACGACATGAAGCCTGAGCAATAGGGATGTGAAGATAAGCATTGGACACATCAAATCTCATCATCCAAAGCCCTGAAAGAAAGGTTCCTCTGAGAAACAGGTAGGATTCCATTGTGAACTGAGGCACGTCAAAGAAGTGATTCAGATGGGAGAGATCGAAAACAGGATGCCAATAATAGGTCTTCTTGAAGATGACCAAATGTTGGGAATATACTCGTGGAAGCACAGGAGAAACCTCTCAATGGCACCCTTGATGAGAAGGTCTTGAATTGTTTCTGTGAGATGCTGGCAGGAAACAGAATCTTAAGAGAGGTAAAGAAAAATAAAGGAAAAGGAGGAAGACTCCTTCTACGATATATCAAATGATCCAAGAGTTTGCTGAACAATGATATGCAAGTGCATGAGCTTCTGCAGTATGTGGGGGCACAGTATACTAACTCCCACATGTAATTGATCTGTGAAACGTTTGGCATGGACCCCAATATCAGGTGAAGGGAGGAAAATCAAAAATTCAGAACTAGTTACTGCAGTTAATAAGGAAGGGGAGGGATCAAATGATATGGGTGAGAAAGAGAAAACACAACATACCTGTGATATCATTTTTAAAAATTGGTGACTGAGGTCTAGGTGCTTCAACAGACTGAGAACATGCCTACACAGCAAAAGAGGGGGAGCTGTCCAAGCTTACATCATTCTGATCTAAGTCCTCAGGTAATGGCTTGTAGATCAGGAGATCCCTCGGTCCACATGAAAGAAGCCATCTCCTGATGAACTACGGATGACACTTCCTCTGCCAATAATGCCACACCTGCAGATGTTGTCACGAGCTGTTGAATGCCAGTACCATTGTTAGCCACTGTAGTCGTATTAGTAAATTGTGAATTCAAAAATACTGACTGACTACTGGTCATTGAATGAGAAATATAATTCATGATCAAATAAAGAAATCCAACTCAATAGTGGATTATAAACAATACTTTGAATATGTTAAAAATACACAAAAGAAAAAAAAATGTTTGAAATCAAGCACTAGGTTTTAACACTGTCATACCAAATCGATAAGTGAAGATTGGGTTCAACTGCATAGAGGGAGTCAGCTGCGATAGGAGAGTGTGTCATACTCCCTTTGGGTGTTAATTTGAATGCTTAAATGCAGTTGTACACATGTGTAATTAGGTGGGAGTTCAAAGCTAGTGATGAGCAAAACCTTGTGCACTAGAGGGCACTCAAGTAGAGCATAGCTGTAACTCTGAGTGGAGGTAATTAATCGCATCAGAATACTGTAACATGCCAGTCTCCAAAACTTGCATGGCAACTCATTCCATGAATGAATTACCATGTTAAAAATAAAACTCCCTTAACTATAGCCTAGCATGTCTTTTCCAAACATTACATTTATGTCACCTTATCCTATTGCCTTCAGGATACAACACAAATAAATCAGAAGCCATTATCCTATTGATCCCTTGGATAATACTGTCATACACTTACCTCCAACCCTTCTTTTCTCAAGACAAAGTTTCTTAAATACAGAAACCAAAACTGCACACAATGCTCCTAGTGAGGAATGGCCTAATTAATGATTAGTGTAAATATATAATTACCTCTTTTGATTTTTAATCAATATGTCTGTAAGTAAAATCCTAAAACTCTATTAACTTTCTTACTAGCAACAGAGAACTACCCCAATGGTTTGAGCAACTGGTCTACCACTATGCATAGATTATTTTTTCAGTCACACTATAGAGTGAATTTCCATCTATTTGAATGTAACATAAATTATTAACTTCTGATCAAAGCAAGCTACCTACATAATTCAGACCTAAAAATCAACTTAGTGAGGAGTATAATAATTAAATATTATCTTTTTTTTATCCTATTTATACAGACAAAAATTCATTGTTTCATCAGTTTTGTACCAGAGGTTGGTCATAAGTTTAAATTCACACACAGGTTCAAAGTTTTGTACAACCATAAATGTATGAAATATTTTGTTGAAAAGGAAATCCAGAGGGACTTATGAGAAAAATCTGGAGGATAATGTTAAATTTAACAACAGGGTTTTTTTTAATATGTTAAAGGTAAGAAAAAATGTTAAAATCGGGTCTTGGCCTTTCAAGGATGACAATGGCTAGGTTTTTATTGAAGACAATAAGATGGTTGAGCTTTTAAATCGTCTTTTTTTCTGGGCAACTTGATGTAACTAGGGACAAGGATCATGGAAAAACAAAAACCTTTCTGACTGTCAGTGATCAATTATTTTGATAGTATACATATAAATTGTTAATGGCAAAATTAATTTGAACTGACAGTTGCCACTGTTACTTTTTATTACTACCTTCTATCATTTAAGTAGCAGTCACCAGATTTCAGTTAGTAGCTGAATCATTAGGTGCCTCTTATCTCCTTATTTTCATTCAGTTTTTCTTAAAAGCTGGGGTAAAATAACTACACAAACCACGGACTAATTAACATTAAAATTTGTTATCTTCTATTTTAATTACAAATGCTCTTATAGCTTGCTGCAATGGTACATTTAATATGAGTCATGAAGAAACAATTTTCCATCTAGCCAAAAATCCACAAGTAATTTAAGGCCATTAGAAATTACTTTATATATATAAATACCCATATCAGCTACATTGTATACCAAGTCCACAAGAATAGTAGGAGAGGACACTGAATATATTTAACACGAGTCACAAAGTCAGAAGTAACATGCATCATATTTCCTTGATGTATATAATGGCTATGTCTGAACATTTCATGAGGAGTGATGTTTTTACTGTGATTAGTTTATACAACTAATTACTATGTAAACATGTAGATGGCAACACCAAATGATATTTCCTTTTCCTGTCATAAATGTGTGAATTTGAATTTACTTCTGGCTTGAGCCTAAGCAAATAAAGGTAAGTAATTTTCACATTATATTCCACATCTTCATCTAATGGGATTTCTTTGAAACCTTGTGTTGAAAGGGGCCAGTGAATGGTATAAGTGGTGCAGTCACGCATCTGGTATGGAATGTAGTAAAGAGGAGAAAGCATATAATGAATGATGTCAAATGCTTTGTTATAACAGCTGAATATTCTTGTAAGGTTAAAGATGTAGAGACAAATACTTCTAAAATTGAGAAGTAATACAGGTCTTTGAATTTGGCCACAGTGTTTGAAAATACAAATCATATTCATAGCTTAGCAGGACGTAAATCCATTAAGATGGCAAAGGAGAAAGTAATGTTAACACTTAATAGAAATACTGCTTAAATCATATCTTAAGTTGAAAAAATATCAGACAGAGATCCTTAAGTAAATATGTATATTTTCATTAATCAGGAACCATGTGCAGTTAGGGCTGGGAATTGTTTTGTGGATTATGAAGACATACTATACCATGATGAAATAATAGCAATCAAGGCTGATGACTTCCAAGTGTCAGTCATGATACCAGCTGGTAAATACTGGAAATGGTCTGCAAATTCTGGTGAGATCTTCTATCCACAAGAGATACTTGTCAAAACGTTGGAGTACACTAATGAGTGTTAATGCCTATGGTCACTTTCATTTTTAAAACTTTTAACATGTTTGACCAGTATCTGTGGACCTGTACCCATTTACTTAAATATGGCCATTTTGTCTTATACATATATTTATTTATAAACATTTGGAATATAATGAGTACAGTTTTGGTTTGCTTATTTAAAAAAGGATATTGACTTACTGGAAAGGGTTCAAAGAAGGCCAACTAGAATGATTTGTGAGGAATTAAATTGGCATTATTTCTTCTTTCAGATGCAGGCATCTGTTGGAACATAATCATTAAATGATGTGTTATCATATCATTACACATTTCTTAAATTACACACGTAACTTCTATTAATAATAAGTTAAAAGTTTCCTCCTTATATTTTGTATAATCATCTTGTCTGAATGTAACCTATAGTGTACAATGTAAATCAACAGTTACATTATATTGGATTACAAGGTGTTGATTGGTTTGCAATGTATAGTTACCCATGCTGATCTGCAGTATATATATATTTAATTTCCAAGTTAGCTAAAGACTTTTCTGTTCATAGTTTTTTCATTATTAATGCTTATACAGGTAATACTACAAAGGTGGCAACCTACAACTTCCTGATTGGATTTGCTATTCAGCATGTGAATGTTACTTGTCCTGTATTTATGCACTATTTTGTGTAACTTGCCTTTATGTGCTAAAACAGTTCCTGGGATTACTCGATGCATCTTTATTGAGCTAGTTGAGGCTACTGTAGACTACCTAGTCATCATGTTATACTTACAGAACTAGATCATCACAGATTACAGGTATGGAAGAGTTATCATATTGGTATAGGCTAAGATCTCTTAACTTACTTTATTTTGAGAAAAGAAGGGTAAGAGGTGATCTTATTAACATTTACAAGATTATCCATGGAGATCAATAGAATAAAAGCCCCTGATTTCTTTGTGTTGATTTCTGAAGACAACAGAGTAGATTCCAGTTAAGACAGTTATATTTTTCCAATAGGATGGTTGGCTTATGAAATCAGTTGTTGTAGATAGTAGTAGAGGCCAATACCTAACAAGAGTTTCAGAGGGAGAATCAACGATTTTCTGATAAATAAAGATTGGGTTTCATTTTCACTTTTCCTTCCGTAGAAATAGGTGTTCAAGGACAGACTTAAAAGACCAAATGATTCCTTATTGTTTATACATTATGTTTAACCCAGATGATTATTATGGTCATAGTTTACATACCCTTTTCTCTGGTGTTTAGTTAAGTTGTCTCTTGAGTTTGTTTATTCACAATGCCAATTCACATCATGTTAGAATTAACTGTAAGATTATTCTAATAGTGAGATAAAATGACTGACACACTAGGTGTCACTGAAGTCTTTGTCATTATAACTATAGTCATGTGTAAATCAGTCTGTCACTCTATACAGATAAAAAAGATGATCAGATGTTTAGTCATTAGTCAATAATCATCCCATACTGTATTGAAATCTCATCATCTGGTATCAAATAAGAGTGTAAAAAAAAACAAAAAACAACTGATACACTAGACCCTCAAGAATATGAAAGTATAAACTGGACTTTACTTGAGATTTAAGTTAGTTCATAAGAGCTGCAAATTAGATTTAATCATATAGTTTGAAAGTGTTGTATTATTATGTAGATTTTGTGACAATTTGCGATTTTAGGTGTTTTCTTTCTGGTTCTTTTCCCTGCTTTCTTGTGTAAAGGTCATATTGTTGAGTTAGAAATAGAAGTTTCAAGTTCAGTTCTGTTGTTTAAATATCTGGGCCCAGCATTTTCAAATTGTGAGTACATTTTGTTTAATTTGTTAAACTTAAAGTTCTAATAAAATACTGGCAATAAAGAATCCTGGTATTAATGCTTCGCCTATTATTACTATTAGTACATAATACCTAATAATAATATTAGTATCGGTATTTAGAACTAGAAAAATCCTAACCGGTGTTACGCCACTAGATTCTGAAACTTATAAAGTTATAACTTAAGTTATAAATTTAAATGACTCACAAGAGTTTCATTACAAATAATAGCTTGCATTTGCAGGATTTTTGCTAATACGTAAAATATTATACTTTATTTCTGAAATTTCGAAAAAATATATCATACAACAAAGACTTACCATTATTTCTCTAATATCGATCAAGAAAAACAAAGAAGTACCAGAAAACATATACAAATAAATTCCATAGACAAAGTCGAAAGCGTTATCTGGTGTTTAAAACGCGTATATGTGTATGTTTTTACTTCCATGTTATTTCTTCTTAAGTTCATTATATATATAATTAGCGAAAAATGTTATTTCAAGGAAAGAAATGGCTAGTATATTTACATGATATTAACATGTTCCTCTGTGGGTCAGCAGTAAGTTTATGGACTTACAATGCTAAAATTCAGAGTTAAGTTTCCCGCAAAGGACGCAGTAGGTAGCCCAATGTAGCTGCGCGAAATAAATAAACCAAAGCTATTAATGTAAAGTATAAAAACAAAGACTAGATTTACAAAGTAAAGTTATTTTTTCTTTCAAAATATCTGTTTATATTTAAAAAAAAAACTTTATTACATAAAAATTCAGCAGTTTCATGAAACAAAATTTAGGGTCGAACCTGTAATATATTCATATTTAAGCTGAAAAGCATATTGTTACGTCTCCGTGTGTTAATTAATTTTTTTCGTAACTTCGTTCCGACGAAACTTAAGCGACACAAGCCTTTACTTGATAAAACTGGTTTATTCTTTCCGAATATAACTTAACCGATACACTCAACAATCGCGCTAAACAAACGCTATAGCAACGAACGTCTCTCGTGCTCTCTGACTGCAGTTCAATTACTCACTGTCTATCTACACACACATTACCATCCCCGCTTTTATACCAGCGTAACCTATTTCTAGTAAGACCTTGAACATTCGACAAAGTACATGATAGTTCTAGAAACGTTGCGTCACAGTGTGTTGCGTCAGCGAGTCACATGATATCGAACTTCTTCAGAAGTTTAGTGATAGGAGTAGACGCGTAGCATTTTCCGGTGTGCTTCCTCGAGGAAGTTGCGGGTATTGATTATTTAGACGAATCAAAAGCTTAATTAAAGATTATCAGGGATAAGCCTAGAACAACAGGTGGACTAACTGAGCCTGTAGGGTAATTTTTAGTAGTTTTATTTATGTCAAAGCTATTAAGGCTATTTGTCACTGTCCCTAATTTTGAACTGTTAATCACAGGAAGGTAGCTTGTAAGTTAGCAAGTAGCATCAAACCAAATATCATCCAGGCTAAATAATTTATTACCACTTTTATAGCGCACTCACAGCTTTAAATGCGGTACTACTATATTGTTACGCCTCCGGTCGTTAGTTAATCTCCCGTATAATTTTTTTCCGATCAAACTTTAGGGACACAATTCCTTTCTTAAACAAAACTGGTTTATTCTTTCTGAATACAACTTTGCAATACACTTAATTTTCACAGTCGCGCTATAACAAGCGCTATAATTCACAACGAACGTCTCACGTGCTCGACTCAACTGTCAATTACACATTGCTCCTCCTCACCGTCAATTCTTACCAGCTTATATATACAAGACTACGGCATATCTAGTAGGCTCTCGAGATCTCAGGAAGGGACGTGAACGTTCAAGAAGTGCATGACGTGTTACTAGGGTCACGTGACCTCCGCTGTCGTAACACTGCCTCTTCCTTAGTATTGTTCTTCCCGAACAATAGCCACTTACATTAAACAATAACTTAATTAAATGTACAGAATTTACAAACACAAAATTACAATTCAACAAAGTCTCTTAATTTTACGTATCTTCTTCCATACTGGTCTCCATCTCGTTGGCTTCTGGTTCATGTGAGGTTCATCTGCTTCATCAGTAAATGTCTTATCA